ACGTTGGGAACAAGAGATAATCCAAACTCTATAACTCATGCGGCAGCAACCTGTCCAGCCTCCACTAGAGTCCATCCTCTCAAAAAAACAACAGGGATAGATCTGTTCGACGTACTTGCATTTCTTCATTGCCAATCAGCCCAAGAAAGTTGAAAGAAGTCAGATTAATCACATCCTTCCCATTGACGACCGTGTGAGGACCTGCTGCACTGCACAGACAGAAACATGGAATATGTCATTACTTGGTCTAGCAATGAGAACATACAACCTTCAAAGACGTTTTCTACCTTGTTTACTAACCCCAAGCTGCTTATCAATAAGGAAGCCAGGTCTGGCTCGATCGACAGAAGGCATTTTTCCCTTTTCTCTGTGAAAAAAAAAAAAAAAAAAAAAGAATCCAATCACAGTCTTTTGTCGCCATAGTAATGACGTGCCATGTGAATCACATTCTCATCATTCCTTGACACACTTTATAAATAAACCCTGCACTGCTATACCACCCACCACAATGTAACGAACCCAATTCAAGAACCTCATATCCACAAGACCATGCATGAAACTCATGATGCATCAAGAATGACAATCAAATTTCAAAACGAGATAGTGAAGTAGACCAGAGTCGAGACAAAGGAGAAGAGGAAGACAACTCAATGATTAGTCTACTGATACGTCTTTTTCCTAACTTCCCCATCTACCTCCAGGGTCCTCTTTTCTATTTCACCAACTCAATAAGCATCAAGCTTCCTTTCTACAAGTGATGAAGCCAGAATCTCCCTCCTCGCAAACACCTCAGCAGAACGTAAAGTCACTCTCCAAAGCAATACCACACAAGGCAATACGTGTACGAGGCAAACGAGTCCATATTACAACAGGGCTAATGAGATTATCACAAGCGAATAAGAGCGATTGATAGGCTTCAAAAAAAAAAAAAAGAACAGGTCCGTATGACTACAGGGGTAAACAGATTATCACAAGCAAATGTTGAGCCGTTGATAGGCTTCAAGTAAAATGTGAACCATTGATAGGACGGTGGCAAGGTTGCTTACCTACCTCTCGAGCACTGGTTCTTTGAAAGTCTTCATAATCTCAGTCAATGGGGGGTGCAAAGGCTCTGGCTCCCATTCCTCACATAGCTGATCAATTTCCTTTAAAACAAATGCCAGCATGTGGGTCAGATGCTGGGAAAAAAATGCAGGAGAACAAAATCGGATGCAAAGACGGCAAAACCCACAGCTATGGGAGGATGAGACATTGCCTTTGCATACTGAAACCCCACCACCTGAATCTGTTGCTGATTAATCACAAGCGTATGTCTGTGTGTGATGTGCGATGATTCGCAAATGACTTTAAAGTTTAAAACCAGTGTACAGGAATGGTCACAAGACTGCCTCATGTTCAATCTGGCAGACCACGCACAAAGGGAAACAGCAAGACGACAGGGCACAGAGTCCAGAAAGTCGGCAGGCGAGAAATGAGGCAGGCGGCAGGGCTACCATGCAAGCACCAACAAGGCAAGCATATGGCCAGAGGAGTCACAGGGCAAGGGAGACAAGCAGGAAGGCAAAGCAGAAAACCTAAGTACAAAGGCTAAGCAGGAAGGCCAGGAAGCAGGGCAGCACGCCAACGCAAAGCAAGCTGACAGGCCACAAAGCAGCAAGGCAGCCCACACATACGGCATGGACCCAAGCGGACTACCACTTACACCACAAGTCAAACTCTACAGACACAGGCTCAAGCAACGATCTAGAGTCAGGAAGTCACTCTGGATGCAGAGACAGACAGGCATCCACCATCAAGAGCGAGGGAGTCGCTTTGATGGGCATCTGTCACCACCAGGGAACGCAGAGAAATGCAGGCATCCGCATGACCGTAGCCCGCCAAGAGTGTCGCAAGCATGACAAACTGGCTATTTGGCACAGTTTTAAGGTCCTGATTGCACTTGAAGACTAAGGAGAAAAAAACACGAGAGAAACACAGCCAACACAGTGGGGAATATAAATAACATAGTTAAAATAGCAAGAAGAGCAGGTCTCACAAAATGCATGCTTTCGTGCTTGTGTGTGCTTGTGTGTGTGTGTGTGTGTGTGTGTGTGTGTGTGTGTGTGTGTGTGTGTGTGCGCGCGTATGTGCGTTTTGGATTTTCACCACAACAGCCCCTGATCCACCCAGGTGAGTAGAACTAATATCGAAGAAGCTTTAGTCCTATTGCAGACAGCGAAGCACACTTGAGTTGAGACATTCCAACAACGAAAACAGTTTCATCTCTATAGCAAGTAACATAGAGCACAACAAATCCGTCCGAATTTGTCGACTATGTTTACTTTGGCTTTCTTTGGGGTACCCCTTTCATTTGTTCTTGCAGCTCCCCTTTTACTATGCCTCCCACGTACAAGGCTGGCCACGTTGATTGTGCTTGAGCGCCAGCTGTCCACTTTGACTGTGCTTGAGTGCCAGCTGCCCACACCCCCGTGCGACTTAACGGCACACTTGCACATCATGATAGGAGGCATAGTAAAGGGGAAGGTATACTCCGCTGTGTGTGTGTGTGTTTGTTGTCATATTCGCTATACACTCAAAAAAAGTGCCAGACTGTTTCGTCGGACTTTCACCGACTCATCAGGAGGTTGAAGCCCAACAGTCTGCCCAGGATTCATTTGACTGATGGATAAGGACACACCACATCGTCCAGAGTTAGTGATGTGTGTGTGTGTGTGCATGAGTGCACAACTGTCAGCAAGAGTGCAAGGACAAAAACAACTAAGCTATTCCGGATCCTTGTTGCATGATTGCATTCCCGATAAATTGCAGTGCTGTCAAAACGGACAAAATCCAGACACTCCTAGACCAGAAACAAAATCAGCTCCAGAAAAAACAACAACAACAACAACAACAGATGGAAGCAAAATGGATCTGCCATTGCCACTGTTTATGAAATTATTATGATGTTCCGAAACCTAAAATTCTGAAAGTCCACCTTCAGCATCTCACGCAAAAGATGATGAAATCAGCCCGGCTGCTGGAAAAGAACGCAGTGACCACTTTGTACCTGGTGCCTGTATGTCGTGACAGCCAAGTGCATGACATGCACTGGGACGTAAGCATGTCTACAAACGTTTCTGACAGCGACGAAATGGCCATTTGTTATTGCTTTGTGCGAGGGCAGCAAAGTATTTTCCCAAGTCCAAAATTTGCAATCAGACAATTTGGGTCTGCAGACTCTGCACCTAAATACTGATAGGTGACTGATATATTGTTCGCATCAGCGCCCCTCCTTCCAAGATACATTCCACATTTCCACATTTGGTGAGTGGTGGAACGAGGCCCTCGATCAAAAGAACGCAATTCCCCATTTCACAATTGAGTATAGTTGGATTTTGTCAGTAGGCAAACATAATATATCGCTAGATAACACAGGCGAAATCGTGGTGACTAGTTAAGCCACCAGTACTTTTTGACCCTTCCCTTGCCCAGCCTCGAAACTGACTGCACGCCAAAAAAAAAACAAAAAACTCACGGGCCTTCTTTTGGCTGACACCACCAGCCATTTTGCTCTTGTAAGACCGACCCCCAAAACTTGCCACAACATCCACACTGCGTCGGAGAAAAATGGCAGCGTGGAAATCCAGAAAAATGGCAGCGTGAAAATCCAGAAAAATGCAGAACTACGAAACCACCAGTGTGGAAATCCACTGGTGGCTCCACACTGCGTCGGAAACCACCAGCGTGGAAACGCACTGCGTGGAAATCCAGAAAAATGCAGAACTATGAAACCACCAGTGCGTTTCTGATGCAGTGCAGAAACTGTCTCTTATACACATCTAGATGTGTATAAGAGACAGCTATAGCAATGTGCATGTTGTGAAAGGCCTTTCACGATTCAGAGCCCAAATTCGAATTTCAGGGTCAAGGTCTTAGGCCAAGAAAGGCCAAGTCGGTCAGTTTCAGAGAAGTCACAGTCGGGTACCTTAGGATTCAAGTCCAACAGGCACCCGGTGGACAGTCACATCCCAGGGGCAAAAGTCACGTCTCATATTGAAGAGTCATATTGAAAAGACATGTTCCGCAGGCAAAGGACACTTGCCCAAACAAAAGTCGTGTCCCAGAGGCAAGAGTCACAATCCACAGTCAAAAATCATGTTTCACAAGTGAAGAGTCGTGACTCCCAGACCCAAGCAGCAGACAGTTTCAAAGTGCGCTTTATAAATTGTCCTTCTCATGCTTCACGTCTCCATATTATTAGAAACTGTCCACTGCTTTGTCTTGGGAAATTTGCAATAGATAAAGAAAGCGTAAACAATAGCTATAATTCTATCACACCATAAATAGGTATAAAACACAAAAAATGGAACCAAGGGAGTCACCGCACGGCACATGAAACAAAAAACAAAACGAGTGCATCTTCGCACAGAAAATGGACAGGTTCATCGGTTTGCTATAAATAGTAACGAGTGCATTTTGCCACCTTTCATGGGCAGATGCACTCGTTTTGTTTTCATTTCGTGTGCGTGTGCCATGTGCCGAGGCCCCAAGTGTCCCAGGAGTTTAAAAGCTGCGCTATTGAGACTGACAGAAAGAGAAAAGAACGATATTCTACAAAGGTTTTTACTGAAATGTGTTCTGATTCTAATGAGAAGATCATGGGCCTTGCTGCACTACTCTCCAAATGTGCAAAATGAGACTGAATCCACCGCTAGAACATGGAAAGATACATTGCCATCTTTTTTTACTCTTGCGCATGTGGAGAGTAGTGCAGCGAGGCCCCATGATGTGACTGGTACATTGATGAAACAAACAAACAAAATACGAACAATTAACAAAACATAATCATAAATCTCCGGTTGTCACCGCATGTGTCATAAATTCGTACATAGATGTTGCACTTACTATTTATTATTTAAGGTAATTTAAGGTAAAAACAAAAGCTTTCAAGAACGATGTGAACTCACCAGCAATTTTGCAATTTGGTGAGTGGAGCGAAGAGGCCCATCATCACACTCTTATGTTCTCGTTCAAGTTGGGCTTTTTTCCCCCTATTCATTCATATTTTACTTTCTAAATTTAGAAGCACACCGCATCCATTTGGAATATCCGTCGAACTCTTTTAACAAAGACTAAATAAAATAAAAGACAGAGATAACGGCAGAACACCAGGTTAGGTCGTGGGGAGGAATGCCAGCAACTGACATTTCGTTAAAACTGACATTCTTTTCTAAATTCACGAAATTGAGTGTACCAAAAAACAACAGTTTTTAGTGTTTTTTGTCCCCATGACATCGGATGATCAGATCATCAGGTGTCGTGGCGACTCCCGATGATCTGACCATCGGATGTATGTTAACGGTACTTTACGTTGAGGTACATCAGATGGACAAAGTGAGATAACCACTTTCTCACCCGATGAGCAATGAAATTTTGACTAAGTCCACTTTCGTGAATGCAGAAAAAAATGTCAATTTAAACGAAATGTCAGTTAGCCTCGTCAAGGATCAAGCCTGCTCCAACGATCGCACATAAATGTCATCAAACGTTTTTCTATGAACCGAAATTCAGGCAGACAGGAGGAGGAAGGGTGCAGGAATGGAGCGGCAAGCAAGTGGGACATATGCAGTCCGCCTGAATTTCGGGGGATAGATTACGATAAGAGCATTTGCCTCGGCGGTAACCGAGTGCAGGGGCAGCCAATTGGCCTCGATTACCAATAACCGGAAGCTGAAAACTGTCTCCTTGGTCATGGGGGACACATTACGATAAGAGCATTTGCTTCAACCAGGGCACTCGGGTTGCAGGCTGTCACAGTAGGCAGATATTACAAGAGCGCCATGTTACTCGGGAACCAAGGTTCTTTTCTCTCTTTTCGTTTCTTTTTTTTTCCCCTTTAATTTGGACCATTTCTCGATTTATGTGTGTGGCCATGCTAATCTTCTCTATCTCATTCCAATTTTACCGGATGTCCCAAAGGACAACCGGCCGAGTAGGATGGTTTCAGACAGTTAAACAGGTCTGCGCAATATACGAGGTTCATTCCGAATAGGCTAGCTGTAGGCATGCATGTGGTAGCCTTAGAACTTGATGCTATTGAATAATTCTAAATTGTCTACGTCATAACAGGCTATAACGACGACCGAATTCGTACAGTGTGCCTCGGGTAGTTCTCGAACCGCAATCCAACCTGTAGGATTTCCTTTTCCCACTGTTGGTTGAGATTCAACTTGTTTTGTCTGATGATTCGTGACCAAGCAAAATTGAGCAATGCTCTCAGTACGTCCAGGTGTTTGAAATAGATTCATGTAACGTAAAAAAAAAAAAAGAAAAAAAAAAAAAGAAGGTACAAAGCCCCACCTGCACTAATTGGGAACCAGTCACCAAAAAAGGGCCATGGAGTGGATTGGGAGAGGGAAGGTTTGTTCGTTTTTTTTTTTTTCTCTTTGAAGACCAACTTCATTCCCCCCCTCGCAGAGGCGGGATCCAGGGGACAACGGGGCAGATGGGTGGGGGGGTGGGTGGAAGGGTGAGAGGGGTGGGAAGATCTTGCTCACGTACAGCTTCTGATAACGGCCGCTTCTGTGGTTGGTAGCTTTTCTGCAGCAATAGAGCGACAATCACCACCACCAGGAGCGTCTCGACAAGTAGGTGTCCTGCAGAGGCCCGATAAAACACAAACAGAAATATCAGTACTCTACAAAGACCGCGCTAAACATTACCCACTTCTTTCTCGTTCAGTCTGTCGTTTTGTGACTAACAGGTTTGGTTTGGGAGTAGAACTGACAGATTCAAGAAATACTAAGGAAGGGCAGAGGTAGCTAGCTGGTCTTCAGAGACATATTTGGCGGTTCTCAGGGGACCAAAGAGGCGGCAACTCTGGCGCTTTTTCTATTTGCTTTTTTCAATATTGAATTTTATCATGGGACGCTGGACCCGGTTTCCAGCAGGTGATGCTCCCCACCAAAAAATAGACTGGAGTCACATGCAAGGACAGCTAGTAGGGGTATATGCTTTCCCCACTACCCCTAGCTGTGCCTTGTGAGTGTTAAAAAAAAAAAAGAAAAAAAAAAAAGAAAAAAAAAAGGTCAAACCAGCACCAACAAATCTGACATCGCAGGTGACCATCCAGCTGCAGTTCCTGGTCCAAATCTACTTCTTTTCTGTGGTCGGCGTCAGAAATAAAAATAGCCCCGCAAAGAGTCCGTTTCAAAAACTGCCCTGTCAACGTGCACCTTGGTCTTTGCGCGGTCCAGGCAAAAATATTATGCCTGGGCCTCTGGGCTACCGGCCGTGCCACACGGGTAGCCCAGGGTCAATCTAGCACAAAAAACAAACTTGAAACTGCAGGTGAGTCAGGTGACCGTCCAGCTGCAGTTCCTGGTCCGAATTCGCAGCCAGGAGGCTGCGCCTTGTGTGGTTTGTGTTTCGTCGTTTCGCGTCCTTTCCATTTTGGGTAATGTCGTGCAGTACAGCGTTGCTAGGATGGGTCCGTTTGGGGTTTCCGAAAGCAGAAAAAGGATCCGGTCGCAGTCGTCCTTAAGACCGGTCACAGGGCAGGTTAGCTTGTCCAGGTCGTTCGAAAAGCAGCATAAGGCGCCGTCCACAGTTTCCCTTTTGAGGGGTGGCATTTCTTCCCGTTTCAAAATAGGGGCGGACGATTTGGGCCTGGGGCATTTCTGCTTTTGTTTTTTTTTTCAGTTTGAACTGCATCTCCCGAGAAATATGGGAAGCATTCATCTGTTTACTGCTATGAAGT